TCTTCTGGTGGAACCGACCTTCGAATCTCTTCACCCAACACTTCTACTCGAAATGGAAGTAATCCCAACTGCTAGTTGAATTTTCCTGCATACATATGAGTAGGCCTCATGTGTTCATTTAATTTAACAGAGCTTTGCTTCAAAAAAGGTATTTTCATCCAGAGTTCACCAAAAATTTTTATCATGCCTAAGTCTCATCACATCTCCAGCTGCATTACCTGGCTTCGAGTCCTGCTTGGAGGGCTGAAAAGACCTGTATAGGCGAGATCAAAACTTCAGTTTGCTCCTGCCTGGACGAAAATACCTTTTTTGAAGGAGGGCTATGTGAAATTGCATGATTGTGGGAAAATTCAACTACCAGTCCTTCATCACCTCAAATGAAATAGGGTCAACGTAGTTATTATTCAAGATCTACTGATAGTTTCGAGAACCTACTTAAAAACGAAAACATTTAGAGGGAGGCCTCGACCAATTGCCCATTGCTGTACCTGCATCCATATTATCTTTTCCCATCGGAGACTTAGTGAGGCATTCTCAGAAGCTTCGCAGTCTTGTTGCCGCAAAGCAGCATGCCAGTGATGCCTTTGAAAGGATAGCAAATCAGCAATGAAAAGGCGGAACTGGTATGAGATAGAGCAGCACTACAACATCCCATTTTTCACACCTACGCCTTCTTCTCTTCTTATAGTCGTGGCTCTACCTGGTACAGGAACCAGATGCCGCCCGCAAGACCCGATGATCTGGTGGTGGAGAAGACTCCAGCCTACTTTCATATGCCTAATGTTCCACGTCGAGTAAGGGACATCTTGCCGGACATCCGTCTGATACTCATCCTGCGAGATCCCTTAGAAAGGACAATATCCGATTATTTACAGGTAAGTAACCGGAATTCACGAAGGTTAGATAACTTAACAATTCTCGCAAACCCTCAATGCATTTCAGTGGATTGTTTTTTTGTCAAAAATGTTCTATGCCACATGAGAGTCCATGTCACACTCAATATCCATAACACAAAGCCGTCTTGCTTTTTCTTTTTCTTGATTACATAATGACATCCACCCTTTGCAGAAACATTTAACAAAGTAGGAATAATGGCAAAATGGCTACCTATTTTCTCATCCCTAACTCACGAATGTTCAGATGCCAAACCTACCCGAAAAATGCATGATTTCTAACTGAGAGCCTCTGAAACGAGGAATGGTAAATGGAAAAAAATGCCGACGATTTTGACCGATCTTGTGCAAGCATGTAGTGCAATCCCTTATGCACATCTCTTCTCGAGGTGGGTTAATTTTGACTGATTTTGATAATCGAATGATTGCAAATCTCTAAAAAGTAGATTAGAAAGAAGGAATGATTTCTCGAAGAAGCTCCATTTGTCATATAATCCGGCAGGCCGTTCGCATGCAGGCTAGATGTCAGTTTCCACACTTCCGGCGGGATTCGAATCATGGACTTGCAGGTTGTGAGTAAGACGGGCCGATACGACTTAAGGCCAATCACATTACCCAACAGACGCGCTTATCAAATCAGAGTAAGCCTGTCTTAACTTAAATAAGCCCTAATAAGAGCTCTCAGCAAATAATATTTTTAGATAATTTCACATTAATTGGCAATCGTTAGTTCTCTAGCAAACACGATAGGCTACAGGCTCATCATTACTAATAAGTCCCTTTGGATCTGCCAGGAGCCTAGTTATTGTTGATTCATATCCGTTTCAAATGGTGCTAATTTATAGCTAAAGATGCAATTTTCGTTTTTAACTGGCCTTTTGAGACTATTACTAGATCTTGAATAGGAATTATGTTCACCCAATTTCGTTTAACATGATGAAGAACTATTAGTTAAATTTTTCCACAATTATATGAATAGGCCTCACATAGCCTTACTTCTAAAAAAGTATTCTCATCCAGTTTCGTCCTCGCCCAGCATATAGTTTCGAGACCTTGGCGAGGTCGGAAGTTCAGTCCAGCCTGAAGGAGAATACCTTTAGGAAAACCAGTCTTCATGATATTCAAGAAAGGCATAAGACCTAATTATATCATTTTAGGAAAATTCAACTTTCAGCACTTCATCATTTTGAACGAAATCGGGTGAATAAAGTATTATTCAAGATATAGTCTCTAAACCCTGCTTTAAAAACGAAATAAAAAGTTTAGTTATATATATAGGCTCTGCTGAGTTCGATCTACACAGACCTGTACAAATTAGTTGAGCCATTTGGCAAACAGTTAAACTTTTCGGATCTATTAACGAGAAATATTTACACTCACAACTATTAAGACCAAGATAGTGTAACCTTTACTTTGTCGTAATCTTCTAAAATTTTATCTCATCAGTTTGACCTTATTTTCGCAACTTGATCCTGCTGCCTGGAGGAGATCAAAGAACACATTTTGTCCATGTTAACTTCTAGCGTTGAACCGTGGAATTGGTCCATTCTTAGGCGCTGTTTCCCTGTCGAGTTGTAGCTTGGTGCCAAGGATAACAGGGCTGACTATGATGCCGGCGAAATATCTGAGAATGCTAGAATTTATGATGAAAACAGTGGCAGGGGAGGTGAGACTAGTTACGTTCTCTGAGGTCCATCTGATAGCATGACTATGTTGTGAAGGCAAAGTCTGACAAATTCTGAAAACATTTTTATTCAGCTATCATATTCCAATTATTGTATTCTGTCCTTTGTGTCATCTTGTCTCGGTGGAGTCTGCAAAATGATACGAGGTGGCTTTACAGGGTTTCATTACTGAAGGACGATGAGACTGCGAGTACCGTGGCAATCTCAAAAGACAAATTACTCAGATGATTACCCGGTTTCCTGTGTGGCTATAATTATTATGACTTTTAAAAGTCATATTGTTGTGCCCTTCATTTTTGTTGCAAATACTTGTGGAGAGGATGCGCAAGTTTGATCTCCTGAAGCCGTAAGAGACTTGCCTTTGAGTGATACTTATGAAATTTCTCAATGAAGACTTTGGAAAACCGTCCTGCTTTCGTCTATCATGTAGCAGACATCATCACAGCAGGTAACCATGCTTTACTAACTTCGAACAGATACTAAGACACGAAGGGTATAGCGTTATAAATGTCCATCAGACCAAAGACCGTCCTCCTGCAGTCTACAATGAAGATAATCAGCGGCGCCAAACGACATCGAACATGCAGAAAAGCCCGCCCAACTCCTACCGGGTTTAGAGGCCAGGCGGGTGCGAATTGTATGAACCTGAATCGGATGCCATTTACACGCTTTTTAAGCCAAAGGGACTAGTTAGACTCGATCAAATCTGAAGACTCACTCTCTACAGGCCAAATGCAGAATGCATTTTGAGCAATACTTCTCTACCATAACCTCGCTCTTAGACTGGTTTTCAGTGCTTCTCTAAACATACGAAATAGTGCTGTCCTCATGGCAACTGAAGTAGCATGGGAGTTGATGAAGGCAAACGGTTTTCCTGTCAGAAATAAAGCAAGTTTAAACATTATATTCTACAAGTAATAAAGAGAGGTAGACAATTGAGTAAGAACTATTAATAGAAGTGGGTTGACCTCGTTGTCGCAACTTGGTCTTGTTGTCAGGGCGACTTAGTAGAACGCACCTAATCAGAAGTCGTCTGCCATAATAGTTGTCATTATTCCCAGCATCAGACAGTGGAGTTGGCCGGCGAAACGTTTGAGAATATATCAAGTCCACTGTATGGTGCTGGGAATTACGATAACTATTATGGCAGACGACTTCGGACTAGGCGCA